CCGGGACTCCTTCCCGGTCACGCGGCGACGAAGGAGAGGTGAGACGGCAGCGAGAGCGAGAGCGAGTGGGAAGCGGATGGGGGAGGTGAACGGATGAGGGGGCGGTTTATAAGGCCGGTAACCCTAGGCCTTTTCACACCGTTTCACTTTCGCGCGCGAGCCCGTGCGCTGCGGCAAAATGGCACCGCGGGTGTAGGCAAAAAGCAGCGCGCGAGCCAGGCCCAATCTCCTCTCCAGGCTACCAAACAGGCCGGCCTGCAGCTGCGGGTGCAGGTTGCATGGCCGCCCAGCTTACCAAACGCGCCCTATATATAGGACTAGGACTCCAAAACTACGTTCATAAAACTATAATCTTGTGATATACACATATAATATTGTTTTTCATCAATCTAATTTTTTTATAAAAAAAGTAGCAATATCACTTATGTAACATATATTATATGCTTAATTATTGAGTTAATTTGTTAATTTGCCCACCACTAAAGACCCTCATCGTACTAGTGATATTGCTACTTTCACCATGATTTCCTTGTGTGCCTATGAAAAAAGTTTGTTTCCCATCTCAGCCACAGAAAATATGATTTTCCCTTTTGTGCCCCTGCATGAGATTTCTCTTCCCCTCTATGCCACTTCCTGCCCTTCAAACAAATCTTAATGCTTCAGTGTATTCTTTGACTTTTAATTTGAGAACGAAAAAATATTTGAAACTTTGCAAACAACAAAATTTATTCTTCAGGTGTATGTCTGCCAACACAAGAAATTTCACAAGTTTCAGTGTTCACAAGATTTTTTTTTTTTTTTGCCCACAGAGGATTGGAAAATGTTTTTTTTTTAAAAAAAATGAGACAACTATTCCTTTCCTTGCTTAAACACTTGCCCTTCCTCTCTGGACCAAAACAATTAATTATCGAGTATTAAAAATTTTGAAATTTTTTGTGTTGCTGAACAAATAAGCTGAAAATAAAATTTGTTATTAGCAAAGTTTCATTTTTTCTTTTTGATTTTTAAAGTATGTAAATACACTAAAGAATGTATCTTTTTTCGAAGGGCATGGAGTGGCAGAGAGGGGAAGAAAAATCTTGAGCAAAAGTGCAGAAGGGAAAAGTAATTCTCCAGTGGTTGAGAAGGGAATGCAATTTTTTTTCAGTGGTTCACAAGGAAATCTCTCTATATTAGTATATGCTTATTCGGATTGTTGTCACATAAATGCACGAGGACGCGTCGACTTACTACTCCCTCTATTTTAATATAAGTGTCATTCTAACCCCAGACATGAGAATTAAGAAGAGATGAAAAAATAGAGAACGCTAAAAACGATGAGCAGTGAAGAAGGAGAGAGATAGAGACAAAGTTGCATCGTAAAGTGAGAATGGTACTTATTTTTGGAAAAACTGGGTAATGACACTTAAACTGGAACGGAGGGAATATATGGTAGACCGGACTGAGTGCAAAAGTAGCTCTGACAAGAATTTTCCTCACTTAGCAGCTTCCTTTGATGAACCCAACCTTTCTTCCACGCACATCGTACACCACCTCAACGGTCTGCTGCGCCATGTTCCCAATCACAGAAAACGGGAACTCCTCCGACGTTGCGGCAAAGGCGAGGCACCCAACGGAGAATGGCCCATCCGGGAAGTACATCATCTGATCCACGTCCGGCGTCAGAGTGACTCCGCCCTTGAACTCCAGCCAGACGGCCGGCACCTCGAATCCAGGCAACCCTGTGAAGTTGTAGCACGTGTCGAGCACAGGGTGTGGCGGTGGCGCCACTGGGTACGGCGGCATCCGCTTCCGGAACTCATCGCGGAGAGCCGTGTAGATCTGTGGCTTGAGGAAGGTGAACGACGTGCCGACATCCAGCGCAGCGAGGCTTGGTTGCGGCGCCGGGAGCTCCTTGCCGCCGACGTTGATACCACCGAGCTCGATCACGTAGCTGTTCCTGTTTCCTGGGAAGTCCACCAAGGGCGTGGAGACGGCACCATCACCGGATAGATCGGGCAGGGTACCACTACCGCCGATGGTGAGGAAGCCGCGGGTGCTCGCGTCGACGCTGGCAGGCAGTAGGAGAAGCCTCCAGTTGTGTTGCCTGCCACTTGAGACACCAAGGAATACCTGCCCCGGCTCAGGTCGAGTACCCCGGTCGAGGCACTACACCTGTTACGTGTGTAATTATCAACGTCGGTGCAAGCTAGGATAAAGCTCGCGAAGGTCGCCGACGACGACAACGTGAGCGTGTCTTTGACGAAGCTGCCGTTGACGTAAACAGCGCCGTGCGAGTCCGTGACATTCAACGAGCACGTCGTCGTGGACCCGTCGCATCTGGACGGGCACTCCGGTCCGCACGGGACGCGGGCGAAGGTGGAGGACGTCGCGGGGTCGAACGCCGGGTCGCACGGCCCGGAGGAGTTACGGCACGGCTTGCATCGGAGCGTCGAGACACCCTCAGGGATGTCGAGGGTGTCGAAGTCCATGGGCAGCTGCTGCGCCGGCGTGCCGAACCCGACCATGACGCTGTAATCCAAGCCGCCCTTTAGGACAGGGATGTCTGTGACGGCAACGGGGACCGTAACGCCTGGTGCTGGTGCGGGCGGTGGGGCATCTACGTGGCTTGAGCACACGGCGGCATAGATTGTCCTGAGCCTGCGCGCATCGCGGTCCAAGACGTCTGCCGACGGTTTCCCAGCTCTGTCGTTCAGAGGCGAGCAGGGACTCGACCGGTGGAGCAGAGGCAACCTGTTGCCGTTGGCCATTCCTGGAAGAAGAAAAGGATTTGCAAAAGTTAGAGCATATAACGAGCTCGAGACATAGATTAAAGTTAAACATATATATGCTTAATTCACCGGAGAGGACGGAGGAGCAGGTCTCTTCAGGCGTCGGAGCACCATGTGAGGACTGGACAATTAACCGCCTGGAGTCTGCACTAAGGGTGGTGCGGTAGGTACTGCCCCTGCCCAGAAGAGGAAGAAGCAGCAGCAGCAGCCACAAGTAGAGCACGGAGGAAACGGCTTGAGCCATCCTTGGATGCAAATGGATCAAGTTGTGCACATACAGTTGTTCTTTGAGGAGCCCTTTTTATTTGTGCACATGGGATATGTGGCGTAGTTGAATATTCTCGTGTTGGTGATGCCTACAAGTTCTCTAGTTTGTCTTTCCACGGCGGCGTTGCACACGAAGCCACTAATTCGTTCCCGACGCTCATGCAAAATAGGGAAACTACGGGGAAAGTAATTTTTACACAACAGAGGATGTCCTCCCACACATACAGTCGTCCATCTTGTTCGGAGATCCTTGCGCAAGCCCCACGTCCTGCTGCAATACACATGATTGTTGAGAGAAATACAAATGGCCGGCGGAGCTATATGCGTGATTGGTTATTTTGCAGCTGCCCCCTTGAAGTTTCTACAGTGTTGGACTATAGGGTTTTTAAGTGCATGTGCATATGCAGATGGATGTGCCATTCATCAGTTAATGTTTTGGTTATTTTGCAGCTGCCCCTTTGAATTTTCTACGTGTTGGTGTTGGACTTTAGGGTTTTAGTGCATGTGCACATGTATGTGCATCCCTCCACTCGCACGCTCTCTCTCTCTCTCTCTCTGAACCAACACATGCATCATTGCACTAATTGTGTTGGTGTTAAATAGTGCAAAGTATTGTTAACTGTGTTAATGTTAAGTAGTGTTAAGTAGTGCAAAATAACATCAGTAGTGCAAAGTAGTGTTAAGTGGTGCAAAATAGTAGTGCAAAGTAGTATTAAGTAATGCAAAATAATGCAAACTAGTAGTACGAAGTAGTGTTACGTGATGCAAAATAGTAGTGCAAAGTAGTGTTAAGTAGTGCAAAATAATACAAAATAGTAATACAAAGTAGTGTTGTAGTGTTAAGTAATGCAAAATAGTGCAAAGTAGTGAAAATAGTGATAAGTAGTGCAAATAGTAGTGCAAAGTAGTGTTAAGTTGTGCAAACTAGTGTTAAGTAGTGTAAATAAAATAGTGTAAAATAGTGCAAAGTAGTTCAAAATAGTGCAAAATAGTGTTAAGTAGTGCAAAGTAGTGTTAAGTAATGCAAAGTAGTGCAAAGTAGTGCGAAATAGTTGTGTTAACTGTGTTATTGGTAATGCAAAATAGTGCTAAATATAGTAATGTAAAGTAGTGCTAAATAGTAGTACAAAGTAGTGCTAAATAGTGGTGTTAATTGTGCAAAGTAGTGCAAAGTAATGCACATGGAGAGAGCACATAAGAGGAAAGAGATAGGACCCACAATAGAAACAAATACAATGCTGCATAAAAGAAGGAAAAAAGGAATACAAAACAAATACAGCATGACACACATCTCGAGAGGGAATTAACGGCTTCATGTGTGATGTATTTATAGGGCCCATGCTGCATGCGTGGGCGGACATTCACCGCGGAGCAAAAAAACCGCGTCTGGAAACTACACGAGCATTTTTTTTCCTTTGAACTCCAAAGTAACAAAGCAGAGACCCAGACATTCATAAACACACACAACTAGCCACACACTTGTACGGACAAATATGAATATCTGATTGTTTCTTAATCAAGTCAAATATCAAATTGTTCAATGACTGTTTGTTTTTTGTCATCTAAACTTTAGGCCTGTCACATTAAAAAAAATCTTGTCATTTAAGAATGTTAAATAAAATTTAATCAATTTTTTTTTATAGATGAATACAATAAACCTAATTAATATATGTTTTGCTACAGTGATGCGACAGTAACCATCTTCTAATCACGTCTTGATTACCCTCATTAGATTCGTCTCGCGAATTAGACCATGGGTTCTGTAATTAATTTTATAATTAGACTTTATTTAATACTTGTAAATGATAAGATTCTCTTTGATGTGACAACTTTAAAATTTAGATGTCAGGAAACGAATACACCCTAAAACAAGTGAGATAAAAAATATTGTTACATAATTGTAACATATATAATCAAAGATATAGTTGGTGATATGCAATGAGTCGAACTAAATATGTGAAAGGGCCTATAGCCTAGTGGTTACAAGAGCCTCAGTAACACCTGAGGTCCTGAGTTCGATTCCTAGTGGGAGCGAATTTCCTAGGATTTAATGGTTTGTGCTTTCAGCGATAGGCGACGTGGCCGTCGACCGCGAGGCGCCAGTGGTGACTTTGTCAATCTGGAGGATTTGCCGGCTTAGTCTTCGAAGATGCTCATAAGGATACGGTTTCCGTATGTGCGTTTATAGAGGTGAGTGTGCGTACGTTGTGAAGTTGTACTGTGTCATTAAAAAAAAATAGAAGTAAATATGAAAACAACAATGTCAAACATTTCCCGCTACCTCAGGCAGTAGCTCATCTAATGGCGTGATGCAGGTGGTTATGTGGTTCCCTGTACATTTGGGAAGCCTTTTTTCTGCTACTATTATTTCCGGTTAATTATTTTTAAATAACATAGTACATGGCTTACAAACCCATATGTAATTTTGGATTATTTTCTGAAACAGAAATGATGATTATTTTTTAAAACATGTGGAGAGCATTTTAGACTATCCTTTCACAAAGATGTTGGTGGGTATTTTCTCTCTCTTCAATTAATGTCATAATTTGGAGCCCTTGAGTGCAAAAGTGGATTTTTTTTCCCTACCATTGTTATTTCTGGTTGATTGTGTTACTGAAAATTTTGCACTATTTGTTTTTGCGACCGAAAATTTTGCACTATTTGTAAACTTGTGAATAGGTATTATGTGCCTTTTCTTTTGCAATTCCATGTTCTCAACTATTTGCGGAGCAAAACAAAACCAACCAAACTCGCAGGAGATGAAATATTCATTTGATAGGATTCTTTCATGCTTTCGTATGACACTTCAGAGGGATCTATCCTGACATTGCAATGTCATGGTGTGACATTACCTATCTCATTCATTCCTAAATCAATTATTATTGATTTTAATCACGGGGAGGCATTGGGATAAAAAAAATCAATTTCATGGTGCGACATTGGCTTTGCCTTTGAGTTACCAATGCCAGTTTGATGAAGATAAAACTGTTTAACTCCAGAGCCAAAGCAGGAAAGATTTTATCCAGTTATCTCTTTGCCTTTAACACGTGTTCCATTTCTTCATCAAACTGACGTGCATGGATGTGAGGGTCAGTGTTGTTATGTGTTTCAAGTGTTTGATGGAATGCTCTGTCAAACTATGATCTCATTTCACTGCATGCTCCTCTTGCAAAAGACAAAAAAAACATTGGACAGTATAACATATGTTGAAAAATAAAAGAATTTGGGTCACTCTACGGATTACTTGAAACACAAACTATGGACAAGAAAGATATTTATAGTGTATATGGACCAAGAGTTGGGACATGGTCTATGTGGATCTAATTCTAGGCCCAATAGAGAGGGAATTGCACCAGCAGCCATGGGCCAGATCGTGTGAGGTTGCTGTGGCTTTTTTATGCTGCAGCTGCAAAGGCAAGGGCAAGGGGGCAGGCACACCGATGCTGCACACACCCACAGCCATAAGAAGCCACAACAAGCTGCAGGGATTGGGGCCATAGGGAATTTGAAGGCTGCAATGGTGAAGGACCTCAAAAAAAGGTTGGAAGTACCATCTAAGTTATAATTTTAGAACTATTCAAGGATTATAGAAAAGTTACGAAAATAAATAGACGAGAAACTGTTATTCATATATAGATAGTTTTTTTTGGTAAAATCTGTAAAACAGAGAAAGCAAAAGACTGGCATTTGATCACCGTACCTGCTGCTTATTTGACAGTACGAGAAGACATACCTCCGCCCTTCGTACATGACTCGCGACTCGTTTTATTACAGAAGACGATGGAAAATGTGAAAATGGCAACAGCATATGCAGGAGCGCCAGAAAAGCATCAGCGTGCAACGTGCTTGCTCCCTTTGAGATCTTCAATCAGCATTGGTACGGGATGAAGCCAACCTTCCCAGCGTGCACGTCGTACACCACCTCGACGGACTTCTGCGCCAGGGTCCCGATCACGGAGACGAGCCCCCTGTTGGGCGGCATGGGGACGAAGGCGAGGCACCCGACGGAGAAGACGTTGTCGGGGTCTTCGAAATACATCATCTGGGTGATGTGGAGGTCGAGGCTGGCGCCGCCGCCGAACTTGAGCGTGATGACCGGCGTGATGATGATCTTGAGCTCGGTGAAGTCGTAGCAGGTTTCGAGCCCCGCGCGCGGTGGCGCCACGCGGTACCCGGACATCCACTTCCGGAAGCTGTTGCGGAGGGCCGCGTACACGTCGGGCTTCAGGTACGTGAACGTGGTGTGGAGGTCGAGCAGCGAGTCGCCGACGAAGGCGGACGGCGGGACGCCGAGGTCCGGGCCGCCGAGGCCCAGCCCGCCGAGCCCGACGATGTACAGGTTCCCGTTGGCGGCGTTGCTCCGGATCGGGGTGTAGGTCACGTTGTGGCGGGAAAACTCCGGCCGTGGGGGGGCGATCTTGAGGAACCCGGCGGCGGTCGACGGCGACAACGGCAGGCAGTAGGTGAAGGCGACGGTGAAGAGGGAAGGAGGCACGCGAGACGCCAGCGAGTGGCTGTTCCGGCTGAGGTCTAGGATCCCGGAGGAGTTGTCCGTCGTTCGGAGGCCGGCTTCCAGGCACGCGAACCTCAAGTCCTGGAACGTGGCCGACGGCGAGAGCGTGAGCGTGTCCGTGACGACGGTCGCGTAGCCGACGAACGTGCCGTTGAAGCTGAAGCGCATGCTGCAGCTGGGTCCGGAGCAACTACCGCGGAACGGGCAGTCCGGCGAGCCGCAGGGCACGTGGGCGAGCGACGACGACTTGGACGGGTCGAAGGAGCCGTCGCACGACCCCGGAATGATGGAGCACGGCTTGCACTGGAGCAGCGTGGCGCCGTGGGTGGCCGTGTCGAACCCCACGGTGAAGTTCTGCACCGGCGTGCCGAAGCCGGCGACGACGTGGTACTCGAACGCCCCGGGCAGCGATCCGATCGGGTCGCCCCTGCTGGGCAGAAACACTCTGGATGGCGACGTTGGTGTGGGTGCGGATGCGGTGGACTGGCTGCCGGGGTCGTCTCCTAAGAGGGAGCTTAGGCGGGCGGCGTCGCGGCGGAGGATGTCCTCTGCCGACGGTGTTTTCTGGTTCTCACCATCGGCGAGAGGGGAGCACGGGTTCGATCGGTGCACCAAAGGCAGCCCGTCGCTGCCGCTCCGTCCTGCAAGGTTTTTGTCACAACCACAAGTTACTTAAGATGACTACATCCTTTAAAAAAAGGCTAAATTTGCCGTGGACACTGTGACTTTGTGGAATTGGTTGCTGGACACTGAAAATGTCATTTTGGCCACCGGACAATATCAAAATGTGGAAATTAGCTGATGGACACTATAACATAGGAAAAGGATTGTTATGATTTTTTATCTCGATGTATATGACACATGACGACTTGATGTTTTGCATACGTATGTATTGTTGCATTCTCTAACTATGTGTTTTTTCTCTTAATTGTTTTTTATTGTTTGCATAACTTTTTGACTTGAAGAATATTTATTTTTTTAGAATAAACCATGCAAACAGTCAAGAAAAAAATTAAAAAAACATATAGTTAGAGAATGCAACAATACATACTTATGCAAAATTTCAAATCATCATGTGCTATGTACATTGAGATAAAAAATTCACAATAACCCTTCTCCTACGTTATAGTGTCCAACAGCTAATTTCCATATTTTGATAGTGTCCTGCAGCTAAAATGACTTTTTTTAGTGTCCAGCATCCAATTTCATAAAGTCACAGTGTCCAATGGCAAATTTGCCAAAAAAAAAACCAAAAATTCTCTGTGTTGCATCTTTATTTTTCCTCCAAAAAATCTGGATTAATCTATATTGACAATAAGGATTATGATATGTGACCTGAGTGTATGGCAGAACAGGGCAGAGACGGTTGACGCGAATCACTGTCTGAACGGAGAACGAAGTGCTTTCCGTCATGAGTGTAGCTGGTGTAGTATGATAATCCAAGGTATGGCGAGAAAAGAAGCACCAAGCAGAATAACAGAGAGGCGGCTGTAGCCATTGCTACAATCCAAGTAAGAGGAGGGCCGGTGGTTGCTGTAGGACAGGTAGCATAAGCAGCCTGCTTTTATAGAGGGTTTGCTTGCGCATTGTTCTTGTAGCACATTCTTGTATACGATGATATGCGATAAAGGCTATGGATTGATTATTCTGACTTTTGTTCATGCATGGTTTACTACCTTGTTTACATGATTCCGCGTTCAACCCAATGTGTTACGTTTCTGCGGACGCCAGCGGATTGGGTCGAACGCCGCCCAGCGCTGCCGCACATTGCAGCGTGACTGCCGAAGCTCGAATGTTGGAACCCAGCACAATGAAAGAAAATAAAACACTCGTATCCTCCTGTCTTCACGGCAAGTGGTAAATTTTGGATGCTTCAGTATGCGCTGTTATATTGGCAATCTGTGGTATTGTTTTGCTATTATTACAACACTGGATCACTGCAAGTGTTAAATTTAGATGCCATCCCCAGCCTCTGGCAGGCCGCCGGCTCTACCGCAGACCCCACCACAACCTCTGGGATGCGAAGAAGGTTCCAGAACCTTCCAATTGGCCCCTGGTTACCTTTGTTACGGCCACCAATGCTAGCATATCGGGCTCTTTTCACCTGGTCTTAATGTGAACTAAGTCAATTGTGTCAGAGAAACCAATGTCCAAAGATAATCCAGGAGTGTTCGCCCCATTTCTATTTTCTACTAAAATTAAATTCCTGATATTTTTTCTAGAGACATAACTAGTTCAAATGTCCAATCCATCTATAGCAGCATAAGTTTTTTTTTCAGATCATTTTAGTTGTCATATTGGATTATTTATATCAATTTTATTGTTTTTCCTTTCAAAAAGTCCTTGTAAAAATTGCACCATACACAAAAGAAACGAAAGCCATTTAAGCATCAAAACCACATGATAAACATTAAAAATGAAGTGAAGCTGAAAACATATATTTCATTTTGAGATAGAAGTTATAAGACCTGCAACAAGTATGCATATTCGGAGGATTCTACCACATTGGACCTGGCTGTAG